GTCTCTCCCAACGCCGCCAGTGGAACGGAAAAACACTCCCGCGTCCAACGGGGGGGGGAGACTCCGAGGGAGTGAAAGAGGGGAAGAGGAGGCAGGAGGAAGGGGGAGACGCAGAGAGGCATGCAGATGTTAGTTTTATTAGTGTCTCCTCCAGCATGCTGTGTGAAATTCCCCCTGAAGGGGGGGCACTGGTCATGTGGTCCATGAAAAGTCGAGTCAATGAGCGTATCTGGATGTATTATTTTAGCCGCATGCTGCTACCCTGCTGAAGAACACCAGGTTCCTGTACATGTGTTGCCTCCGTGTTCACTTGGCCTACCAGCGTGTCCATGCTTTGACAAAAACCTATAGCTGTGGGCCTCCCCCCCACCAGGACTCATTATACTTCCATAAACAGAGCCATAAATCACCTCTGAGGAACCCAACTTATGAAGAGCTTCCCCTCGCCATTCAGAGGTCACTTCCTCCCAGCGCCTTGCAAACACTTCCCTGAAGCACGCTCTCAATCTCCCGGACATGCCTGCTTTGAGACTGTCTTTCGCTTATGTGAAACTGTGGAACTGCGTCTGTAGAGCATTTGCAGGACATTCGTTGCACCAGGGCACGTCACTGGTCCAGCAAGCAGAGGAACAGGACTAGATATGTAGGCTGACACAAGAGCAGAATAGACATCCTCATGGATATCAAATGAATAATCAGCTCAGCTCAGATTTACTCCCCAGTCTATAGTCCTGGCTCCCTCTGCCCTGCAAACCACCCACAATGCATTCTGAGCTTTCGGACACTCATGCTCACGTTTGATGAAAATGAACCTTAAGCAATGGAAACGCACCAAGTGCCATGGCCCTGGGCGACGTTTCCCCTGCGCCGCAGCACGCTCGCTCGGCCTCGGCTGCCATGGCCCAAGGCGACGTTTCCCCTGCGCCGCAGCATGCTCGCTCGGCCTCGGCTGCCATGGCCCAAGGCGACGTTTCCCCTGCGCCGCAGCACGCTCGCTCGGCCTCGGCTGCCATGCAATTACTTGTCTCTGTCAGGAGCAGGATTCTTGTTTCGCCGCCAGCACACATATAGAAAAGCACAAACTCTCCGTGTGGAGAAAAGAACAAAGGCCTCTGCTAAAGAATTAGAACGTTTCGCGTTTGGAAGGTAAGTCGGTCGGGCATTTGTGTTTCCTTGGTAATGGGAGTCATTCCACTTAATTTCCTGTTTCATCTGTGCACCAAATGTACCAGTTACAAAGATCTATAGCAAACCGGAGTCTGCATTTCTTCTGCAGTGCAAGACAGTAGGAGATTACAGGCAAAATGACACACATCTCTCTATAAATTACTTTTGAGATGTTTAAATAATCATTTTAAACATTTCACTAACAAGAAAGGACAGCCAGAAAAGTTGGTAATTAAAATATCATTAAGACTAAAACCAGCATTCTCATGTTCTAAAAGTGTGAAAATCAATCAGCCATTCAATCAAAATAGTATCTTACTTCCACTGGACACCTCAGTCGACCAGATATTATAAAAGTACTTTAAGAGTTTGCATTGCATTGCTCTATATAAAATCTTACAGATTTATTAGCTAATTTACCATCCTTGTACCCTTTAAGTTATGAGTCAATGCAATATGTTTTCATAAATATTCACTGTCTGCACATCACTGTCTGTATCACTGTCTGTGAAGCCAGTTCCCTTGCACCGTCTAGGTAAGTAATCACAGAACTGCAGAACAGCATTAGAAATACTGCCCTCTTGTGGCTCCAATGGTATGAGCCTGGAAACTTCAGCCAATGCATGCTTTAAACGGTGCTGTAATGGGACAACAGCGGTGTTCACTGCCACAGATGTGTCCCTGCACTGTGGTTTGGCATGAAATGGAGAGTGACGGGAAGTCACTGGATTTCACAGCTGCGACTGGGTGCGAACCAAACCAGTCAGCACAGTAACTATACCAAGGAAGAAAAACATCCAGGCAAATCATCACATGCTCACAATAACAAATCAGACACCTTGTGTCAAATCAGCCCTGTGCTTTGAAGTGCTAATGCACCCAGTGGGTTTGTACGAGCACTTTTAATGTGGTGACAGATAACCTGCAGCCAGATAAAGTGGTAACTCTGATTTTCAGCAGGATCAGAATCCGCTATCCCACAAAGGGAGGTGCAGACTGAGAAAAGGAGCATCTCTGGAAATGTTCTAGTAGTACTGCTTTGTCTAAACTACCAGCAATGTTTGCTATAAGCTTCCAGGTTCAAAACAGACAAGAGCATAGACTGATTGAACACGAGTATCAGATTTAAAACTGCCTTAAACCAGGAATATCAGGAATTCTGACAAGCTCTTTACCACCATTGTTTAATTTTTGGAAAATAGAAATGATTTTTCATTAGCTCACATCCATATATGCTTTAGCATAGCATTCCTTTGGAGGAAAAATAGCAAAAAGCAACCGGAACTGGCTGCAGGTTTAGCACTGGATTAAAATTGATATGCTGTCTTCCCAGAGCTCAAAGTCCATGCCCACTCAGGCTGGACGGAATCCAACAATTTTCAAAAGTATTTTGTGAATGTAGACTCCACAGCTTCAAGACAGACTTTGGTCCAAGCAGTGAATAACACAGTCAGGCATGTCAAACTGACCATAAGCAGATCCGTATTTATAAACCTTGTTGTTAACCGTAATTTACATCAGGTTCCCTCAGGATGAGTGAAGTTCTATTGAGGAGGATGGTAGGGTCTCATCTCAGCGGGATGGTGCTGCTCAGGCTCTAGCGCGTCTGCAACCAGGAAGCACCGCGAGATCCCTGGAAAACGGCTCGTCCAAAGAGGCAAATTGAAGAGTAAATTTCCAAACCTCAGTCCATTTCTCGTTGTTTTTTGAGATGAGGCTGCCAATCAGAGGTGCTATAAAGGGGGGATGGGGTGGGAAGGTCAGGATGATTCTAGGGGCTCCTAAATCATAGGAGTCCTAAAACATTTGCAGCATAATTGGATTGGTCTGGGTTGGGGGCCTGCGATGGGTTGGCGCCCCATCCTGGTAGATTCCCTGCCTTATACGCGAGGCTTCCGGGACGGGGTCCAGACCCCCCGTGACCCTGAATGGGTTGGATGGGTTGGGGCCCAATGTGATATGCTTTCACAGGGTCCAGAATCTCTAGCTGTACCCAGGCTACCAATTAACAAAATTTACTCATAATTCTGTTAAAATTCCCAAACTCACTCAGTTATCCTGTCCATGTACTGAGGGAGTCTTGGAAATTTTCTCTTCAGCTGTCAATGGTTACTAAACGGTCCTGCAATTACAGCCCCTCCAGTGCCCGAACGTGTAGACCGACTAGAGGGGGGGATGGAGGTGTTGCTTAATGGAATGAGAGGACCTCCCAAATTAGGGCTTTAATGTGCAGACATGCATACTGCGCAGACTTTGCACGTTATGACTGAAACATATCTAAGAAAAGGCAGTGAGATCCCGCCCCTTGTACTGGCTAGCCAATCACATGTCCCATGAAAGGAGTGAGATAAAACATGAAGCATCTTCCACTGCATCCTCTTTGTTTGCCCTCCTGGTGGCATCTCAGCTCACCTATATTGGTTTTTCAGGCACTAAAGCACACTCAGCCCAGAGGGATAGCGAAGGAGAGAGAAAGAGAGAGAGAGAGAGAGCGCGAGAGAGAGAGAGGAGGGGAGAGAGAGAGAGCAGATGCCAAATGTTTTTGAGAATGTAGCATTTCTGGGCTGGGTCTGTTTCAGCACCGTCAAATTCTAGAAACTGAGTCCTGCTGCTCAGTAGAGGAAAAATGTATTATTGAATCCTGTCCCCTTGTGTTTGAATTGGATAACATATTATGAAAGCAGTGAAAAACACCCCGGAGCTTGCCCAGAGATTCAGATGCAGAACGTATCATGAAATTGGCTTTGTTTTTTTCTTCTTCCTCTGCACATGAAAAATTTTATGATGCTGAAAAAATATCGAGAAGAAAAAGACTATATTGCCAGCAGTGTTTGGACGGGAGGAGAAAAATTCAAGGTGCGAGGACAAAATATACATGAGGGACTCTGGCTGGGGAGGGGGGGGCTGTTTGCAGCAGAGCCAGTCACTGACATGAAACACCCTCCGATCAAATGATACTGTCACAGCTTCAGTATAAAGTCAACAAAAACATTTGCAAGTTAAACTGCAAGCAAGCCGCGATATACGACCAATAAAGAGGGAAAGCTAGACCTGGACAGGCAGAGGAGAAAGGAATCCTCGATGCATGACAGCATAGCTAAAGCACGTCTAACGGGATGTGAGCTGTGCGGTGGCAGCACCTGTGAGACCTGGAGGGCGATGGGGGGTGGAGGGGAAGGGTGGGTGCTTAGCCTGAATTACGCTACTGAGCACTAATCTGCACTCTGAGCGAGCGGCTGGCATGATGAAGGCCATGGGGACACTTGTCAGTCACAGCTCCAGAAGGCAGCTGCTCTCTTTCTCTGGTACCAGACCTGCAGTCCAAACCCAGCGCAGCACCTCCTCCCTGCCCTCCCCTAGATGCACTGGACGTCCTCTGATTCTACGCTGCATCACGCCACGAGAGAACCGTACTCTAAGTATATTGAAGTTTTTTGATTTTTTTTTTCAAATCGAAAAACAGATGAAAATGAGCTCTCCAGAAACATAATCAATGCCATCCCCTGGCAGAAACTCTCTCTGCCTCTCAGACACAACTTTGGGAGCTTAGAAGAATGAAAAAGATTGACAAGAGAAAGCATTGTTATAAATGCTGCATTTTGTTTTTAATCTCCTCAGAATTATTCCCCGCCTAGAATTACCGTACCAGTGAGAATTATGCAGGTCCCATGACTAACAAAATAAAGGCATCAGCTTTTTCTTACACTTTTTTCTGATGCACTTGGCTTTTGTACACTAGCCTAGACCAACATGTGATATTAGGAAAAATGCAAGAATTACATGAATGGAGATGAAAGGAAAACTCTAAAAGGAGAACAGGAGTAACTCCTTACCTTTCTCTACTGTCTGAAGAAAAATGAGAAATATTTCTTGGTGTATCGGTGGAGCTTCTGGCAGTGATCTTCTGCTTTTTCCTTCAAACTTCAGGAATTAAGGAGATGGAGGGGAAAACACTTAAATGCACAACGTCCTGCAATTAAAAGGAAATAAAATATCACATAGATGTAGGACAAAAATAAAACGTTTTTATGTCTGCAGGTGAGAGATTCTTTTTTCTTTGTTTTGTTTTTATTTGTCTCTGGTGAAAACTTAGTCCATGTGCTTTTTGCAAGGAGGAAAAAAAAACCTTTTTCGAGTGCTGTCCTCTAGACTGACTACAAGTTGATTTGTGAAGCACCTTCAGAATCGCTGTGCTCACTTGCTCATGGGTTAAAGTAGGAGGGAGAAGCTGGAGAGAGAGAAGCGAGCAGAGCGAGCAGGAGAGCGAGAGGGAGCGAGAGAGCGGCCAGAGTTTCAGAGACAAGGTGCTGAGGCTGGATCCCGGTTCAGTGAGAGAGAGAGGTTCTCTCAGCCGGGCTTTATCAGGCACCTTGAAGATGTAATGTCCCCAATGCCTGCTTTTCCTTTCACTGGTGCTGCCTTTCTGGGAGAGAGAGCAGGAGAGAGCAGCTCCCAGACAGAACTGCTTCTTAGGTTCCTTTAATACAAAAAGCAAATGTAAGCAGCAGTGAATGAGCGAATTAGGTGGGAGTTTCCACCTCAAACACAAACACTCTGAAAACAAATACACACACACACACACACACACACACACACACACACACACACACACAGACAGACTTACATACAGACATACACACACATACAGACAAACAGACACATACACACACAGAGGAAAGGATTCTTCGGTACACTTTTCAGCCATCAATTACATAATGGAAATAAATAATAACTTAATATAATATATTTAATATATTTAAAGAAATATATAACTAATATACTAAGGGTGCTAAATCTAACTCTAGATGTTGAATAATCTTACTTGAGAATTTCATCAGTGACTTGAGGTGCACACGTCCTTTTTATAGCCGTACATGGCAGCCCCTGGGTTTGTGATTCTGCACAGCAGACAGCAGCAGTATTTGCTTAGCAGGCCGTAAAGGAAACACCAAGACGGTTTCATGCGCTTGGTGAGCAATGCCTGTAGTGTGTCAGACTCAGAGGAAGCTAGGATGCGAGGCTCCATGGCACCCCACCCCCCCCGAGCCATATTGTTCATTATTACCAGCCAGCAGCATCACGCATCCCGCGTTCAGACCTGGGGAGGCCCCCATTTTCGGTCCTTGGGAGGATCCCAACTGCTCAGGTCGCACATCGGTTGACTCATTACACTGACAGAACATTTTTCAGTCAACAATATAGCATTAAACTCTTTGTGCAAAAGTGTCAGTGTGTTTGAATCCAACCCCCAGTAGGAACGATAACGCTTTGTGAGACCTGCATTTTTTTGTTGTTCGCTACACGAAATAAGTACATTACAAAGCAGTGCCTTGCCGCTTGCTGCTTAAACTTTATTTTTTATTGTTAGTTTTTTCATCAAGCTTCTCACTTACGGAGTCCTGGATGAGCATGACGACCTCGACCGTGTGACCATAGAGCGTTCCATGCCAACACAGTCATTGCCCCCATTTAGGATGAACAGCCCCTTAGATTATGTGATATTTAGTTCATAAAAATTTAAAAAAGGCTACATCTGATAAACAGAACACAACCCTCTTCTCTCACCGCTGCCCCACCCGAAAACCCAAGCTCTCCCCGGGGTTCGACCAAGCCGACTGGCTGCGTTTCTGACAAAGCCGGTCATTGAGCACAAAGCACGTTGCTGCTGTACTCGCTGACCACCCCTCTTCGTTTGCATTGTGTCCCTATCGCGCTCGTATCGCCAGTCGCTAATTTGCGCTCGGAGTGCCGAGGAGCCAAAGGTATGCGCGGGGCCCGACCGCACCGGCGTTTGCATGTCGCTGTGGTCTGGAAATGGACCATGGAGCAGCAGCACACTGGCCCGCCGACAAGAAAAGGGCCGGCTTTTTACTGCCGGATCTATTGGGACCAGAAACTGGCAGACTGAGCAATCTGATAATGCAGCAGTAAATTGCCAGCCAGGGTTAGAAATGTGGACCAAGGGAAACACAATGAGAGACTGAGTGAGCGAGGAAAAAATACAAAACAAGACAGAAGTTTAACTGTTATGTTTCTTAGCTTAGTGAGCTTCTTGTTGCTCAGCATAACAGTTTAAGTTCAGTCGTTCCAATTTTAGCACACTATCGCCAAATTACAGTAATTTTTTTTTTTTTTACTTTTCCACTCAAAGATCTACATTTATCTTCAAATGAAAAGACTCAGGTTAGCCTTTTACACATTAGCCTCTATTACTGATTAAATATGGCATCTTACTCAACTCTGCCGTTGTTCATTCAAGGGCTCTGTTTTGTCAGGCTGGCTCGCTCGCATAACGGCCACGCTTGGGTCTATGACAGGCATGATTACCTCAAATGTCCAACGGGAACGTGTGCTTTCCTGCATCCTGCTGCAATTTTTCTGCACCACATCTGCATAAAAGTAGTCAGCAGACTTAAAAATGGAAAGAAAACCAGAGCAGAATTTCACCAGGATTTGATTTAAATTCAATATTGTCTGTTCATAATTAGGTCTTGGGTAGGACGCTGCTAACAAAATAAGATGTTTTTTAGATATTTGTTTACCTGGAATAAGCTACAGAAACTATTGGTTGGAGGACTAGACTGATGTCCAAAATGTTACAGTCAGAATGCAGGCTGTTGATGCATAACATAATCACAATTACTTTAAACATGCAAACTACATCACAGTATAGGATAGTTTAGTGCGTAATTGAAATCAGAATAACAGAAATGTCATGTATTAAGAAATCTGGATGTGAGTAAAAGTTCAAACAATGGAGATATTTAAGGACACACTGGTGCAGACTGGGATTTGTGGCTCTCATATTTATCTTATCTTAAGCAACATGGAAAGAACAAAATGCAGCCTTGTTCACTCTAAATGTTTGGCTTTAATATATGAAATAAAGTGTGGAACATCAAAATCCCAATCTTGTCCATTTCATAAGCCACATCAAGTACCTATTTCTAGAATCCTTAATGACTTCAAATAAATATCCAGTGAAGTCAGCCCCACCAATATGCAATAACTGAATAGCTGCACTGAATGGATGTCATTTAGACATTTACAAGACAGAGTTTGCCAGGCCTTTGGTGATGATGTCATCAATGGGGGCCTTGTGCCTGTGTGTTTTGCCAGGTACATTTCTCAGTAACCGGATGTCATGGTAGTTCCATTCAGCCAGTAATGACTTTGTGTAAAAGGCGTCACTTGGGGGGTGGAGGGGGGGTGTGGACAGTTAGGGGCCCCTAGTCTCTTGCTAACTTTAGCTACAGGGTGGGAGCTTTTCTATTGACACACCTTGGAAATTCGCTCACTCATACGTCTTTTCTCCCTTAGTGTTCCATGATCGAACACAACCACAAACAGGAATGTTTAATAAAAGGGACTCTATACTCTGACATCACACTTTGGCGTCTTTTTATAATTTTTCGTGTGCTGCTAAAAATAACTTCTGACCCCACGCCTAAGTACTTAAATAGTGATGCATAAAGGAGCTGGATTTCCAGTGAGTGCCTTTGAATGTCAGGCCCAAACTAACAAGAGTGCCACTGTAAGATGGCGCAGCACTATAATACTCCACTGGGGGCGCTATGCACCCTTTTCGAATTCATTGTTTCTCTGTATGCCTCTTCCCACTCTATCATCTACACTGGACTCGCACATTTCAGGCTGTAAGCAACGGCGGAGCTGATATTTTTTGAGGATGCAAGTTAGTTCAGCTTTCAGTTCCGTGTTCATTAAAACTTGCCCAGATGTTGAATAAAAATACATACAGTTATTGTCAGTAATTTCCATAACTGAATAAAGATGTCGGCAGAATGTGAAACTAATTATGAAAAAAACAAAACAGGGAGAATCATTTCATAATAGTTCCACTGCCTTTTGTTATGAAGAATATGGGGTGGAAGCAAGGGGTTTCTGGCAGGTCAGGGGCTTTGTGAGGACAGAGTCTCCACAGCAGGAGCTGCGACAGGCTCCTCTCATCCCTGGCAGCTGTCCATCAGTCTCTGGCCTGCTTTAAATAGGCTGCTTTATGTGGACCATCTCTCCCCGCCTTCATCTGCCGTAACCTTCAATAGGAATGTCTGGCATTTGGGCAAAATTGGGCTAGTGCTGGTGGTCTTGTGAAGGGGGGGGGGCATGGTCGCTGAAATTGATATGAATTTCAGAAAGAAATTCCTCTCTTGGCGTTTATTGGATGCTGCCCAGGTGGAGCGGGACGCGCGGAGGTGGAGGTTCTGAATGTCCAGGCCGGGCCCACATCCACCTGACAGACGCTGCATACCCACAGTCTTTGCTGCCAGCTAATTCTTCAGTGCTGGGGAGGGCATATGACTATAATGTGAGGATAGTGCCTTTCCCCAGCTACAGAATGCCTGATCCAGATAAGAAAGATGGGGTACAATCTGACTTCTGTGTGGCCAAGAAAATTATAAAAGGATAAAAAAAATGTTAGTTAAAAAAATGGTCTTTCGGTTTGGAATTGGGGAAAACTGCTGGAAGGTCTTACCTACATGCACACGTTTCAGAAGATGCCCTGGTACATGTGCAGAAAAGCTGGCGGAGAAATGGCAGGGCAGTGACACGGGGCTAATTATCTCCACGCGGACGTCCTCCATGCATCCCATAGCAGTGAGCGATAATACAGGCCTCACCTCAGAAGTAAATGCCATCAAAGTTAACTAATATAATAACCTTGTTGCCTGCCAGATATTTTTTACCAAAAGCACCTTGGAAACTTCCCTTCCTGTATAGCGGCGAGGCTGAGTAAGACCTCTGGAAGGAACAGTCAATAATGTTATAGGTGTGTAATTTTTAATTCCCATTTACATTTGGTAAAATTATACCCTGACACTCCCACCCTGCACATGTGCTCTGTGCTGTCACATGTTCCCCTTGCAGCATATATTTAATCCTCTTCATCATTCAACTGTGGTCTAACCAATCTGTGCTGTGAGTTTAACAATATATTGCATGGACCAATCAAGATAACGAATCAAATAGTCTTTAATATTACCCACAATGCACGAGTGGGATTAAGAAAATATTTTGATTTTTTTTTTTTTAACAGGAATGTGCCTCTAGGGGCGTCAGAGGGGCAAGGGTATCCTGGCATGGATATCCTGGCACATCCAAGGGGCCACCACTTGCCAGGGTCCCTTTAATACGTAAAATTAGACGTAAAATTGCAAAGACATTTTGACATGGGTTCAGAGTTTCTAGATACAGCCCCTGCTTGCCTCATAAGCACATAGAATAATAAATTATATACATTGTTAATGTGGTTAAAATATATGGAATAAAAATATTTATGAAGTAAGATGTGTTGCAGGGGGTGGCACGGTGGGGCAGTCGTTAGCACTGTGGTCTCACACCTCAGAGAACAGGGTTCCCTGTGTGGAGTTTGCACGTTCTCCCCGTGTCGTCGTGGGGTTTCCTCCGGGTATTCTGGTTCCCCCCCCCCACAGTCCAAAAACATGCCCAGGCTAATCG